TCTACCCCCTCCCTGACTGCTCACGAAATAGATAGCAGCCACTCAAGGATGAGGCTGACTCTTTAATGCTCTCAGCCTCCTTGAAGGCCTCATATGAGATCAGATCGTCATTCTGAAGCTGCACTCTCCAAGCACTGCCTCCCTTTGCTTAGTATCTATTAGCACTGGAGATATTTTTGAATAACATTTGTATGAAACTTTGTTTAAAAATTATTTTGAAAATTTGCACTTTGGGAAACCCAATACCCTGGCAATCCCATCTGTCTGTGAGGATTCTCTATGGTCTGTGATGAGGCAATGGGCTGCTTTTCCTCACCCATTACCCACTTTTTTAAAAGATTTGTTTTTATTTTATGTGTATGGATGTTTCATCTGCATGTATGTCTGTGCACCACATGTGTGCAGTGCCCATAAATGCCAGAAGGGGGCGTCAGATTCTCTAGAACTGGAGTTACAGATAGTTGCAGACAGTCATGTGGGTGCTGGGAACTGAACCCAGGTCCTCAGGAAGAGCAGTCAGAGCTCTTAACCACTGAGCCATGTCTCCAGCCTCTAACAGGTACTTTTTAAAATTTGTTTTGTTTTGTTCTGAGACAGGGTTTCTCTGTATAACAACCTGGAACTTAACTTTGTAGACCAGGCTTGCCTGAAACTCACTGAGATCCACCTGCCTCTGCCTCCTGAGTGCTGGGATCAAAGGTGTGTGCCACCACCGCCTAACTCAACAGATTCTTTTAGGTGAGGTTTCTGTGATATATTAGCAGAGCCTGAAGGTTATTTGCTTTAAATGTGTTCACTTTGGTTGAGGTCTCTTTGGAGCCAATTGAGAAAGAGACCCCTATAATGCAGCTATTTTGATACTGAATATTGACGAGAAGAAAGGAAGGAAGGAAGGAAGGAAGGAAGGAAGGAAGGAAGGAAGGGGGCTGGAGCGATGGCTCAGAGGTCAAGAGCACCGGCTGCTCTTCCAGAGGCCCTGAGTTCAATTCCCAGCAACCACATGGTGGCTCACAACCATCTGTAATGAGATCTGGTGCCCTCTTCTGGCATGCAGGCATTCATGCAGACAGAACACTGTATACATGATAAATAAATCTTTAAAAATAAATAAATAAATAAATAAATAAGTGATAAGTAACATAATGTGCTTGGGCACAGCTTTGTCTAGCATGCACAAAGTCATAAATAAAAACAGGTACCACCAAAAGTGGCCCAACCGAGACACTAAGTAGACACCTGTGAATGGAGAGTCCACCCTACCTGGACTTTTCACACGGGCCAGCAGCTGATAGAAATGTTAGCTCTCCTGTCCATGAATGTAATAGAATACAGCAAGAGTACCATAAGTAGTGGCCCAACCTCTGATCCTCAACTTTATCTCTTTGAGACCTCCCAGGGCATAGGTCACAGTCAGTTTTGAGAAACAATGTAGCATTATTTCAGACCATCTCAAACTATCTTCTAAGGTTGCTATATATCCATCCAATGCCTTCATAGGATGCAAGCACAGGCAGACAAACAGAGTCTTAAAATATTTTGAGGTCCATAAGGACTAAGATGTTTCTCTTAGAAATTTCAGTGTGATTTCCTGGAACTTAACTATTAGCACCATGGTTTTGGAAGATGCCAAGTTATCTCTAATTCTAAAAAAAAAAAAAAAAAAAAAAAAAAAAAAAAAAAAACATTATTTATCAACTGTTGGGAGTTGATTTTCTCTTTCTAAAATTAGGTCCTGGGGATTGAACTCAGGGCATCAGGCTTGGCTGCAAATGCCTTTACCTGCTGAGCCCTCTCTCCAGCCAGTCCCTCTGATCCTTATGCTGATTGTTCCTGTTGGAAACGGGCTATAGGCTAGCCCTCTCCCTCAGACAACATGGTCTTGAGAAGAGAGCTTAGCCAAAACCTCAGCACCCACTAAGCTTGTGCAGCAGGCATCCCTGAGCAGGACTCACTGTGCAACCCCGGGAACTGGACTGTCTCATTGACTGGAAAGCACTGACAATATCTTCAGGATATGCGTGTGGTGTTTGGCACCATGGGATTGTGCTTTCACCGTTATCTGAGTAAGAACGGAGACTTTCCTGGCACTTCAGAGTATCTGCCGAGCTCAGATAGGCACCTTCAGCCCTGTGATATTCTCAGCTGTCCAGTTGCTTCAGAAAAGAACCCACAGCCCCTGGACTCCTTGCTGTCTCCGAGAAGATGTTAGAACCAGGTTTAGAAAAACAGCTCATCTGTTCCAGCTTGGCTTATCCAGTTCAGCAGGCACATTCAATAGTTCTGACTTCACTGAGTAAATTCAGACTGTTGGTTATTAGTTCCAGAAAACCCTCCCTGGCCCTCAGCCTTTCCCTGTCTCAGGCAGAGTCCCTCATCTACCTGTGCCTTTGCCTTCCTGTGGCCCATTCCTTTTCTATGCTGTAAACTTTAGAATTGGAGCTTATCGTATGGATTGTTGCTCACAGTCTCACTGACAAAAAACAAATAGAAGTATACAAACACATAAGCTAAAAAAAGCAAAAGTCTTTTTTCTGTCTTTTCCTACTTCAGTCTCATTCCTACCAAGGAGATCATCCATAGTGTTTGTTACATATCCCTCCAGAACTGTCCATCTTCAAGAATGATGATGCTAATAAGAGTATCAACCATTGAGTGTGCCCAGGGTCAGATGCTGACCACTTTTCATGAATGTTCTTAAGTCAGTTACAAGACATCAGGCCAATAAGATCCATGTTAATTTTGTGGCCATTTCCCAATAGAAGCCACAATGGAACCTACTAGATGGAAAAAAAATCAGAATTTGAACCAGGTAGGCTGACTTCACAGCCCATGCTCTTCTGTTATTTTGTCACTTGATTTGGTTTTGGAATTTGGAATGTGGTAAACGTGTTTTCATACTCACCCACATAACCTGATTGCTTTTTTTAAAGAGGGGTGTGTGTGTGTGTGTGTGTGTGTGTGTGTGTGTGTGTGGGGGGGGGGGGGTGTGGGGGGGCGGCATGTGGAGGTCAGAGGACAACTCGGTAGAACTCTGGGGATGGAACTGAAAGGCAAGTGTCTTTTACCGAACCATCTTGAAGCTTCCCCAAAACACACACACAGACACACACACACACACACAGACACACAGACACACACACACACACACACACACACACACACACACACACACGTACGTTTGGGATTAGCTACCACTATATAGCCCAAGCTGGCCTCAAACGCATGACCACCCTCTCTGAACCTCTCTGATGCTAGGATTTCAGGAATGTCCCACTATATACAACTATTGGGTTTGTTTGTTTTTTAATGTTGCTTCAATATTCTATAAAATGCAGTTAGCCATTCTTTCACCAAAAGAATGGGTCTTAAATTTCTCTATTTCATCAAGTCTAAGATTCTTTTATGGCTAGAAGCATCCAATTTCAGAGAGATAAAATGTCTTAAATGTGAATCCTGGAATTTGTATAATTAGAATCAATGCTTCAAAAAAGCATGCTTGTATCTAATTTTCATGTGTGAATTTTATAGTAATTCACTAGAAGTAAAATTGTCCATAAAAATGAAGATTCTTTTTTTTCTTTTTTACATAGATACTGTCAAATTCCCTCTAGAAGACCATATGTCAGTCATCAGGGTCACTGGTTCCCTTTGAAAAAATGTTTCACATTACAGGTAATAAAAAATAATACTAAATAAATGTTCAGTGGATAAAATGCAAGGCATGGGTTAGCAAATTCAATGCATTTAAAAACATAAACATACAACAATGTTTTTTGTTTTTGTTTTTTTTTTTTTAAATTACTGTGTCAGTCGGGTGGTGGTGGCTCACGCCTTTAATCCCAGCACTTGGGAGGCAGAGGCAGGTGGGTCTCTGTGAGTTCAAGGCCAGCCTGGTCTACAGAGCGAGTTCCAGGACAGGCTGCAAAGCTACAGAGAAACCCTGTCTCCAAAAAAAAAGAAAGAAAGAAAGAAAGAAAGGTGGAAGATGAGAACTTTTTGGTAAAACGGTCTGTATTTCTATTGAAACGCTAACTACTACCACATTTTATGCATAATGTGTTCAATGTAGTTCCAAGGCCCCTTTCAAAATGACTTATCAAAAGGCCATACTCTCAACTTAAAACTAACAACAAAAACTCACTGATAACGCCAGTGTTTTTAAGCCACCAAAGCTCCCACAGGAAAAAATAAATCCTAGAAATTTTAAGGTCTATCCATTTTTCTCAAGCACCAGACAGATGATCTGCATCCCCCTACCTTAGTCTACAGAAATTCTAACTTGGTAGAGTCCTGACAGGCTGCTGTGCTTTTGAAAGAGCACTAGGTTATTCTTATACACTCTATAGTGAGAGTCAGTGCATCCAAGGGGGGGAAACCTAAATGTGTTTTTTTGCTTTGTTTTGTTTTTAAGATTATATGCATGAGGGGCTGGAGAGATGGCTCAGGGGTTAAGAGCACTGGCTGCTCTTCCAGAGGACCTGGGTTCAATTCCCAACAACCAAATGATGGCTCATAACCATCTGTAATGAGGTCTGGTGCCCTCTTCTGACACACGCAGGTGCAACACTGAATACATAATAAATCTATCTAAAAAAAAAAGATTATGCATATGAAGATGGGCGGTGGTGGTGCATTAATTCCAGCACTTGGGAGGCAGAGGCTCCCAAGTGGATATCTGTGAGTTCGAGGCCAGCCTGGTCTACAGAGTGAGTTCCAGGACAGCCAGGGCTACACAGAGAAACCCTATCTCAGAAAAAAAATAATAAATACGTGAATGAGTGCGCTGCTCGCAAGTACGTATGTGCACTACGGAGGTCAGAATAGCGCGTGAGAATCACCTGGAACCGAAGGCGCCAACACTTGTGAGCCCGGAACCGAACCCGGGTACTCTGCAAGGACCAGCGCGCCCAACCGCCTTGCCATCTCTCCAGCTCATGGTTTCCTAACCCGAATTGCCCTTTACAAACACTGCATTAACTGGAGAGTGTACCAACTTGAAGCGAGGTGGGCGGCACCGTCAATGGCATCCTCCAGTGCCCTGTCGGGAGCGGGACGAGGAGGGCGCGCGAGCGCCTCCTGCCGTCCGTCAGGAAGCTCGTTCAGGGAGCGGCCCGGAACGACCCACTGCGACTGCGCGCTGAGCGGCCGGAGGAGGCTCGCTCCCAGGACGGAAACGGAAGTGTCGCGTGCTAGCCTCCAGCGCCCAGTCCCCAGTCACCATCCTTCCTTCTCGGGGCCCGGCCGGAAGCGGAAGTTGCTAAGGGGTGGGAGAAGTTGCCCGACAAGTGTCAGGTTACGCTCCCGCTCTCGTTGGAGTTCTAGCAGCCGCTGCCGGAGCAGGTAAAGCGGGGCTCGGCGAGCGCGCGCGGCCCGAGGGGCGTGGTCCGCGGTCGGTCCCGGGGGTCCCGGCCCGCCCCTTCCCGCTTCCCTGTGTCCCCTCAGACCCCCGCCATGGGCAACACGAGCAGCGAGCGCGCCGCGCTGGAGCGGCAGGGCGGCCACAAGACGGCGCGGAGGGACAGCTCGGGGGGCGCCAAGGATGGGGACAGGCCCAAGATCCTGATGGACAGTCCCGAAGACGCCGACATCTTCCACTCGGAGGAAATCAAGGTGGTGAGTCGGGGGACGTCCGAGCCCTCTTGACTCAGGTCGAGGGCAGGGCCCCTTTGCTGTGTTCCCGCCACATTCCCATCTCCACACCTGGAGGGAGCTGGCCGTGTCACAGCTCTGTTTGCTGTCCGGGAAAACCTGTGCCTAATTACCTACCAATAGCAGAGTCGCCCAGGGCTTCGTTGAACATCATTAAGGAGAAAGCAGCTCTGGGACCGAGTTTCAACTAATTAATTAATTCTTAATTAATTAAGAGCCGAGCCAGCTGTAATTGAGCACAGGCGTCTACTTTTCTCTTAGGTGTAATTGATTGCACTGCTTTGCGGGAACTTTTCCTTAGCTTCAGGGCTGACCGGCTTGTGCAAAAGTTGGGTTGGGAGTTTCAGGGTTCGTTTTGGAGGTAAAACAAGAAGGAGCACGTATGTTGAGCTGAAAAATGAAGTTGACCAGCTTGACTGCCAGAGGTGTTTGGGTCTGACACTTTTGGTGCACCCCTGCTAACTCTTTTAGATCCGGCGGTTGTGTTTGAGGGGGTCAATGGCCAAGAGTCACTCTGAACAGCAGCCAGCAGCTAACTGCTATCCGACTTCTGCATTACTGAGATAATGACCTGGACTTTAAGCAGACCAGAGTATTTTTTTTTTTTTCCAGGCCAAGCTGAAAGTTCCTGCTTGAGCCACATTCCCTTAACTACAGTGATGTGGCCAGGGCTCCCGGCCCAGTCCAAGGACATTGGAGATTCTAGTGGAAAGATCTAATTCCTTAGAATAAGTTGCAGTTAGGAAGGTTGACTCTGACCAGCATGTTACTGCCTTGTTGCCTATTAATCCCGTAACTTTAAACAGGCTAATGGCCTGGTCACTCACACTCCGATCCCCCCCATTGAGCTAGGCAGCCACATTATTGTTCTCTGGATCTTAATTTTGAGTCTAATTTGGAAGAGCCTGCATCTTGTCACTGTAACTTATTCCCTGGGCTCGCTGCTTTGGGGGAAAGGTGTGTGCTGTGATCTTTGGAGTGCTGTTTTCTCCACTGAGCTGAGATTGTCCCCACGCCTAGAAGTAATTTTGGCCCAAGGCTATTTAAGAGGAAGTAAGTATTTGTTGTGGCAGGTGTGTAGTCAGTGTGCCCTCTGCTCTCTTTGCCAGGAGCTGAGTAAACTTTCTTTTTAAGAAGGGATGGGTGTTGTTGCTGGAGACACAGGATCTGGGAGGGGAGATTTAAGTAACATTCCTTTGAATTGGCTGCCCAGTCAAGTCAGAAATTCTTCCTGTTACCCCAGTTCAGCTTTGTGGCTACAGTTAGTGGTCACTCAAAAGCACTGGTTCTGAACCTGTGGGTCACAACCCCTTTGGCAAAACTCTATGTACAAAAGAATATATTTACATTATGATTCATAACAGTAGGAAAATTACAGTTATGAAGTAACAAATAAAATAATTTTATAGTTGGGGATCACCACAACTGGAGGAACTGTGTTAAAGGGTGGGAACAGGAAAGTTGAGAACCGCTGCTCTAAAACTGTTGCTGCTCTAAAACTGTTGATCTGTAGCACAGATCCAAAGACTGAAGACATCTTAGATAAGAGCAGATCCTGTCTGCAAGTGAAGGCAGTAGGACCTTCCCTGAGCTCCCTTTGGGGCCTTTTCCCATCCTAGAAATCTAGTCTTTGGTTTTTCTTCTGTCTGAAGAGCTGTGTTTCACCCCAGGGCTGGATGTGTCCCTTTCTCTCATGTTAATAAACTCACCTTGGATTCATGGCAATCTTTTTCCAAGTAAGCCTTACAGCTTCCTCTAGAATTTTTGTGAAGTCTAATGGCAGTGATGGTAGCTAACGATTAAGCACTGACTGTGTGTCAGACCAGTCTTCACAAACTGACAGAAGTGGTTATTTTTATTATCTCCATTTTGCAGGCAGGGGAACAGATGTAAGTCGTAGTAAGTGGCAAGAGCTGCCTGACTAGAGCGTTTTGTCGCTCTTAGATAGCAGTCCTATGTGAGGAGGTTGCCTGACCCTGAGTAAATGGCTCTGCTTCTTAGGCTCCAGAGAAGGAGGAATTCCTGGCCTGGCAGCATGATCTTGAAGTGAATGATAAAGCCCCCGCCCAGGCTCGGCCAACTGTGTTTCGATGGACAGGGGGTGGAAAAGAGGTCTACTTGTCTGGATCCTTCAACAACTGGAGCAAGCTTCCACTCACAAGGAGGTAATGGGCTGGGACTCCAGTTCTCTTGTTGCTTTAGCTGTGTATATATTCTTGTTTCTAAAAGATCTCTGTGGCTGAATAGCATAAAGGATATTTTTGTAAGATGTTGAGTGAAAAAATATTTTGTTTAATGAGTTACAGAGTTCAGATCTCAAACCCTAGACGTCACTGTTTTTAAGTGCATGTTTTTTAAAAGACAACAGTATGTCAGTGGAGAATATTTCTGAGCCACACTCCGACACTCAGCTACACATTTCTTGAAAAAGTTGTTCCTGGTGCAATGGAGAGAGTGCTGGGCTGGGAACCTCAGAGGTGTAGATCTGAGTCCTTACTACCTGCACTAAATAGTCACTCTGTAAGGGACTATCGGCCCTCCCTTTCTTGCTCTTGGAAGGTTGGAAGGTACCTGCTCTGATGACATTAGCAAGGATATACTGAGAGACTTCCTCAAAAACCCAATGTGGATTCTGTCTCAAGAGCTCACCAGAGGCCACTTCTGGTAAATAAATGAAGGGAAAAACAGCACCCTGCTGTGCCATGCCTGGTGGTTGTCAGAGCCCCTGTTTTCCCATGGTTAACATTGAAGGAGGCAACCACTGGGCCCAGTTGCCTCGAGTTAGTTCAGGTCAGGCCAAGAAACAACAAGTTTATATATATGTGTGTGTGCCCTGTTACACTGGTCATCTCCCTGTTCAAGGAAAACTGACAAAGGGAAAGCTAGGCGGCTGCGTCTGTCTTTGTGGGCCCCCTTCCTGGCACCTAGGCTGCAGATTGAAAAGCATGAATTAACCATTTGTTGACTTTTCAGTGTTAGGATCCTAGGTTCCCAGTGTCTGAGCAAAGGGAGTTTTCTGGAAACCCTTGCCTCCTGCTTTATTAAGTGGCTTTCCTAGGTTGTGACCAAGAATTGTCTGAACTGGCTGAACATGTCTGCTCTCCTGCAACCGAACCCTTGGTTGTACCTGGAGTCAGAGGGCAGCCCTCTGAGCTGAAACACTTGCTTCCTCTCTTTCTTCAGCCAAAATAACTTTGTCGCCATCCTGGATCTGCCCGAAGGAGAGCATCAGTACAAATTCTTTGTGGATGGTCAGTGGACGCACGATCCTTCTGAGGTACTCTTCCTGCTGCCCCCGGCCCTCTGGTGCCCACATAGCTAACACCAACCACTTCCCCTGTGACTTCTGTCAGGTGCCTCTCCCTTCATGTGGCTCCGAGTTAGATAGCAGCAGTTGCCAGGCCATTGGTATAATTGACCAAGCGTAGCTAGCCAGGTGGTGAGACCATCCAGCCAGGAATTCTAGTCCTCTGAAAAACTCCACAGACCTTCCATGTTATGATTTCTGCCTGTCTGTCTCTTCCCAGCCAATAGTAACCAGCCAGCTTGGCACAGTTAACAACATCATTCAAGTGAAGAAAACTGACTTTGAAGTATTTGATGCTTTAATGGTGGATTCCCAAAAGTGCTCCGATGTGTCTGGTATGAACAGTTACTTTATCCCACATGTGTGCAGGCTGGGGCTGTGCAGCCTGGACATACATACTCTGTTTCCCTTGCCTCTCACACTTGAGCAAGAGCTGCCCGACCAGGTGGACGGTTGTAGCTCTCTGGGCCACAGAAGTTCATTTCTAATTCTGTCAGCTCTGGCTGTTGGCGTTTAACCCCAAAAAGTCACTGCCCCGTCTTGTGGGCTATTCTATAGTTCCACTTGGCTATAGGAACAGAACCAAACTTGATATTATGCCCCAGGTGAGGCTGAAGAGGCCCTAGAAGACACTTGGGTCAGTAATGAGCTAGCACCAGGGAAGCTGCCAGCTCACTTCCCACTCTAGTGCCTGGAGAATTGCAGGCTGACAGGTGATAAACGACACCTCAATGACCTTGGCTGTCATTTGTGCAATCCATTAGCACCTTGTCAGGCTTCTGAGAGAAAGTGGCTGCCTATAGAAAACAGACTGCATAACACAACTCTCCTTTCTGGAAGCCAGTTCTGCTTGGTCCTGGTAAACAATCTTATACCCATGGAGCTTTCAGGTGACTGCGGTCCACCCACACCCAATAGGAAGAGACCACCTGGAATGTCACAGGGAGTTATTGCAGATGGCGGCAGCAGCTGCAGTTTCTCCTCTTGTATGCAGAGGCTGCTTCCTGGGCCCTATGGGAGACAGTAAAATGAGTCTTGAGAAAACAGATTCTGTTCCGTTTACAGATTTCCCACCATCTCCTGGGTGGGTCTGGAGGTTCTGTTTCTGGGATCTCTCACTATTTGTTTGTGACACCACAGCTGTAAAGTGACTGGTGGGCTTCACTGGCTGTGGCTAACAGGTCAGGTTGTGGATCTGGGTTAGAAATCTAAAACCAGTGCTTTTTTGTTGGGATCA